ACCAAACCTAACCAAAACTAACCTAAACCAAAATCAACCCTAAACCAAACCTAACCTAAACCAAACCTAACCAAAACTAACTATAGTAAGTAGTAAGCGCACCAAACAGGGAGGTACTACCGCCGGGGAAGATATTGGAAGCATAATGTGTTGTTAATGGTAGATCCGCTGCCATATGGCATCATGAAAATTTTCCCAGGTTGCTGATCTGACTTTCTGCCCATTTTACACAATAATTGCAGGGTCTCAATTGTTTCTCTTACTAATGAAACACAAACATACATATATTTTTCCTCACTTTTGATTTTTCATTTTGTATTTTATGGTTCTTTATTATTATTATTATTATTATTATTATTATATTATTATATATTATTATTATTATTATTATTATTATTATTATTATTATTATTATTATTATATTTTCGCCCCCAGGCCCCGATGTGGGTCAGTGACTCTGCCTAAGTGGGCTAATCTCAAAAAAAACCAAACCTAACCTAAGACTCATATAATTACAGTCATTACAGTAGGATGTAATTCTTTTATTAATTAAAGAGTTTATTATGATGTAGAAGAAAGACCCGGGGAGGGAGGGAGGAGGGAGGGGGGGAAGTTGGGGGGTAGAGGTGGGGGTGGTTGTTGACGCAGAGACCATGTTGGGGATATTGTGGTAAGTGTATGTGTGTGTGTGTGTGTGTGTGTTTCAATTGTTTTAGATGAACTATGTTGGGTTACAAGGTATTTAATTTTTTTAAGGTTAAGGTCAAAGGTTAAGATGAAGAGTTAAGATCAGAGGTTAAGGTCAAAGGTTAAGATCAAGAGTCACGATCAGAGGTTAATGTCAAAGGTTAAGATCAAGAGTTAAGATCAGAGGTTAAGGTCAAAGGTTAAGATCAAGAGTTAAGATCAGAGGTTAAGGTCAAAGGTTAAGATCAAGAGTCACGATCAGAGGTTAAGGTCAAAGGTTAAGATCAAGAGTTAAGATCAGAGGTTAAGGTCAAAGGTTAAGATCAAGAGTCACGATCAGAGGTTAAGGTCAAAGGTTAAGATCAAGAGTTAAGATCAGAGGTTAAGGTCAAAGGTTAAGATCAAGAGTTAAGATCAGAGGTTAAGGTCAAAGGTTAAGATCAAGAGTTAAGATCAGAGGTTAAAGGTCAAAGGTTAAGATCAAGAGTCACGATCAGAGGTTAAGGTCAAAGGTTAAGATCAAGAGTTAAGATCAGAGGTTAAGGTCAAAGGTTAAGATCAAGAGTTAAGATCAGAGGTTAAGGTCAAAGGTTAAGATCAAGAGTTAAGATCAGAGGTTAAGGTCAAAGGTTAAGATCAAGTGTTAAGATCAAAGGTTAAGATCAAGAGTTAAGATCAGAGGTTAAGGTCAAAGGTTAAGATCAGAGGTTAAGGTCAAAGGTTAAGATCAAGAGTTAAGATCAGAGGTTAAGGTCAAAGGTTAAGATCAAGAGTCACGATCAGAGGTTAAGGTCAAAGGTTTAGATCAAGAGTTAAGATCAGAGGTTAAGGTCAAAGGTTAAGATCAAGTGTTAAGATCAAAGGTTAAGATCAAGAGTTAAGATCAGAGGTTAAGGTCAAAGGTTAAGATCAAGAGTTAAGATCAGAGGTTAAGGTCAAAGGTTCACGATCAGAGGTTAAGGTCAAAGGTTTAGATCAAGAGTTAAGATCAGAGGTTAAGGTCAAAGGTTAAGATCAAGTGTTAAGATCAAAGGTTAAGATCAAGAGTTAAGATCAGAGGTTAAGGTCAAAGGTTAAGATCAGAGGTTAAGGTCAAAGGTTAAGATCAAGAGTTAAGATCAGAGGTTAAGGTCAAAGGTTAAGATCAGAGGTTAAGGTTAAGATCAAGAGTTAAGATCAAAGGTTAAGATCAAGAGTTAAGATCAGAGGTTAAGGTCAAAGGTTAAGATCAAGAGTTAAGGTCAAAGGTTAAGATCAAGAGTTAAGATCAGAGGTTAAGGTCAAAGGTTAAAGTTCATTGTGATCAAATTCCCCTAAAAAACAAAATCTGACACAATTTGCTCCCGAAGGATGAGCCATGACGTAAAGGCCCGGGAAACGTTTACTTCCAAATGACACCACAATTCTTCAGAACATGACGTCAAACATGATTAATATTCGATAACAAGAACATGAACAACAAAGTAGGAAAAAAACGTATCACAAATCATATCTACTGAGAATTAACTATCGAGACGCCTTGGGATGACAGAGAAAAATAAACTGAATATCGGTACTTCAAAATTCACGGTAAAAAATAACCCCCAAAAAGTGTTATTATTTTTTTTAAGGCGTGAAAATACCGTGTGTGGGTTGTGTGTCATCTCTGGTCGTTTTGTTAAGTGACAGAGACAGCTGGTTGTGTGTGTATGCGAGAGAGAGAGAGAGAGAGAGAGAGAGAGAGAGACTGTGGGTGGTAGGCTACACACTAGTAAACACAGGCCTGCGTAAGTGCTTGCCGCACTCCCCACTCTCATGCCCAGCTTTATAAATAAACAACACCTGACGTTCTCTTACAGCTGCGTATGTCTTTTATGCCGCCATCTGCACCGACACACACACACACCCATGTACACCCACCTACACCCACACACACACCCATGTACAGGCACCTACACACACACACCCATGTACAGGCACCCCACACCCACACACCATGTACAGGCACCTACACCCACACACACACACACCCCATGTACAGCCACCCACACCACACACCATGTACAGCCACACCCACACCCACACACACACCCAGCATGCACAGGGGCACCCCACACCCACACACACACACACACCCCATGTACAGCCACCCACACCCACACACCATGTACAGGCACCTACACCCACACACACACACACACCCCATGCACAGCCACCCACACCCACACACACCCATGTGCAGGCACCCACACACACACACCCATGTGCAGGCACCTACACCCACACACACACCCATGTGCAGGCACCTACACCCACACACTATGTACAGGCACCCACACCCACACACACACACACCCCATGTACAGCCACCCCACACCCACACACACACCCATGTGCAGGCACCTACACCCACACACCATGTACAGGCACCCACACCCACACACACACACACACCCATGTACACCCACCCACACCCACACACACCCATGTGCAGGCACCACACCCACACCCCATGTACAGCCACCCACACCCACCCACACACACACACCCATGTACATTGTACAGGCACCCACACCCACCCACACACACACCCATGTGTACAGGCACCACACCCACACACACACACACACACCCCATATACAGGCACCCACACCCACACACACACCCCGTGTACAGCCACCACACCCCACACACACACACACCCATGTACATTGTACAGGCACCTACACCCACCCACACACACCCATGTACAGCCACCTACACCCACACACACCCCTTGTATACCCACCTACACCCACACACACCCATGTACAGCCACCTACACCCACACACACCCCATGTACAGCCACCTACACCCACACACACAGCCTAATCTGTGAAAGTTTTGTGTTCGACTGGGCTTATGCTGTTATTGCAGGAGTCGTAGACCCTCAGCAATTTGGCAACATGAAAACTTCCTCCACTACTCACTGTCTTGTCAGCTTTCTCGATTACATATACCGCCATCTCGAGAAACGAAAAACGTCTGTAGCTGTCGCCTTCATTGATTTCACTAAAGCATTCGACCTAGTCGACCACAATATAATCATCAACAAAGTTATTGACCTCGGACTTCGGAGAAGTCTTATACCATGGCTTACAGACTTCCTCAGTGACCGACGCCAAGCTGTACGCTTCCGAGGGGCTGTCTCCACCTTTCAGTCACTCACCTGTGGCGTCCACCAAGGCACCAAGATGGGACCACTCTGCTTCCTTATGCTCATCAATGATGCCCTAAGAGAAACCCCTGCTCGCTGAAATATGTCGACGATTCAACCATTGGGATCAGTCACCACCCTGCTCCCCTAACCATACCGCCCTTCAGGATTTATTGAAACAGTTCCAAACTGGCCAATTAACAACTATGCGTCACCATCAACCATACCAAGACCATGGTTATGCACATCAACCCTCCGACATTAAGTCCCGTAATTCCTCCTTCCATTACTCTAGGTCCGAACACACTCCAGGTTGTAGATTCCACTTGAAGCTTCCTCGGCGTCACCATAGACAACAAACTAAATTGGTGAACCACACGTCAGTGAAGTTGTCAAATCCTCCAGCTCTCCGTCTCCACCTCCTCCGCCGACTCAAGTCCCTGGAGTTCCTGCACCCGAGCTCCTCAGTGTTACTCAGCATTCATACTTCCCAAGCTCACCTATGCCTCCCCTACCTGGTCTTCCTCCCTAAATGCCACACAACATAAACACCTAGAAAAGTGCAAAAGAGGGCATGCAAGATTATTCTCTCCCCTTCCAACTCCACATATCAAGAAGCGCTGAACACACTGACCCTCTCGGCTCTCACTGACCATCCCACGACCCCATCTGCAAATTTGGTAAGAAGCTTCTACACCATCCTCGACACCGGCTCCTACTACCACCTGAGATCCCTAGCCCGAGAATTGCTGTTCGACACCACAACCGCATCCAGCCCATATGTGCACGAACTGATCGCTATAAGAACAGCCCAGTCCCAACCATTGTAAAAATTATCAATAACTTGTAATAAACCAGTGTATTCACTCCCAGTAAACACTACTCCTTGCACTGTCACTATGTTGAAATGAACTGTAGTTTGAGCTTTTCCCCATCTAGTTATTATATATCTTATTTGTATCACTTATGTTACTTGTATATTATTTGTAATTCGAAACCCATTCCCCAAATATGTAACTGTATATTTTCAGCCTTCTGGCTGCCAAGCTCTTTCAATAAACCGTTAATTATTATTATTATTATTATTTATTATTATGTACAGGCACCTACACCCACGTATACATAAACCATCATCCACTACAGACGATAAACCACGTAAACCCAGGGAGAACCACAGCCCAGGGAGCCAGCAGAACCAGTGCCACATGAGACCGCGTAGAACCTCCCAGTGCCACATGAGACCGCATAGCACCTCTCAGTGCCACATGAGACCACGTAGAACCTCTCAGTGCCACATGAGACCGCGTAGAACCTCTTAGTACCAAAGGAGCCCACGTAGAACCTCTCAGTGCCACAGGAGACCGCGTAGAACATCTCAGTGCCACATGAGACTGCGTAGAACCTCTCAGTGCCACAGGAGCCCACGTAGTACCTCTCAGTGCCACAGGAGACCACGTAGAACCTCTCAGTCCCCAGGAGACTGCGTAGAACATCTCAGAGTGCCAGAGGGGGCCATGTGTGACCAGTGAGTGCCACATGCAAGCTAGGGTAGCACTCTTAACACGTCTTATATTACAGACGTAAGTAAAAATTTACGATTAACATATGGTGGGACATCTGAGGCCCTCCCACCAGTACGACTCTACCTCCTCCCTCATCACCAGGTCACATGAGGACACACTAGGACACGCCAGGACACACGATGACACACAAGGATACACTAGGACACGCCAAGACACACCAGGGCAAACCATGACACACTAGGACTTACTAGGACACGCCAGGACACACTAAAACGCAATAGGACACGCCAGGATACACCAGGACACACCAGGACACACTAAAACACACTAGGACACTCCAGGACACACTAGGACATGCCAAGACACACTAGGACACACTAGGACACACTAGGGCAAGCCAAGACACAACAGGACTTACTAGGACACGCCAGGACACACGATGACACCCCAGGACACTAGGATACGCCAGGACACGCCAGCACACGATGACACACCAGCACACACGATGACACCAGGACACACTGGGACACGCCAAGACACCCCAAGACACACTAAAACGCACTAGGACACGGGACACCAGGACACTAGGACACACTAAAACACTAGGACACGCCAGGCCACACCAGGATACACTAGGACACACCAGGACACACTAGGACATGCCAGACACACCAGGACTCACTAGGACACGCCAGGACACACTAGGACATGCCAAGACACACCAGGACACACTAGGACGCCAGGACACTAAAACGCAATGGGACCGCCAGGATACACCAGGACACACCAGGACACACTAGGACATGCCAAGACACACCAGGACACACTAGGACACGCCAGGACACACTAAAACGCAATAGGACACGCAGGGATACACCAGGACACACCAGGACACACTAGGGACACTAGGACATGCCAAGACACACTAGGACATGCCAAGACACACTAGGACATGCCAAGACACACTAGGACATGCCAAGACACTAGGAAACATCAGGACACACCAGGACACGCCAGGACACACCAGGACACACTAGGACACGCCAGGACACTAAAACGCAATAGGACACGGGATACACCAGGACACACCGGACACACTGGGACACACTGGGACATGCGAAGACACACTAGGGACATGCCAGGACACACTAGGACATGCCAAGACACACTAGGACAAACTGGGACACAGGGCACACTAAAACGCAATAGGACACGCCAGGATACACTGGGACACAGTGGACACACTAGGACATGCAAGACACACTAGGACATGCTAGGACACACTAGGACATGCCAAGACACTAGGACATGCCAAGACACATAGAATATGCCAAGACTCACTAGGACACGCCAGGACACACCAGGACTCTCTAGGACACGCCAGGACACACTAAAACGCAATAGGACACGCCAGGATACACTGGGACACACTAGGAGATGCCAAGACACAGGACACACTAGGACACGCCAGAACACACTAAACACAATAGGACACGCCAGGACACTGGACTCACAGACACCAAGACACACAGGACACACCAGGACACGCGAGGACACGCTAAAATACACCAGGACAAACTAGCACACACCAGGACACACTAAAACACACTTGGACACAGGACACGCCAGGACACACTAAAACACACTAGGACACACCAGGAGACACTAAAACACACTAGGACACACCAGGACACACTAAAACACACTAGGACAGCAGAGCACTAAAACACACTAGGGACACGGGACACACTTGGACACACCAGGAGACACTAAAACACATAGGACACACCAGGACACACTAAAACACAGGACACTGGGACACACTTGGACACACCAGGACACGCCGGGACACTAAAAACACACTAGGACACACAGGAGACACTAAAACACAATAGGACACACCAGGACACACTAAAACACACTAGGACACGCCAGGACACACTAGGACACACCAGGACATGCCAGGAACACTAGGACACACCAACACACACTGGGACACGCCAGGGCACGCGAAAACACACTAGGACACAGGGGACACACCAGGACACACAGGACACACCAGGACACACAAAACATACTAGGACACACCAGGACACCAGGACACACTAAAACACACTAGGACACACCAGGATGCATGGGACACTAAAACACACTAGAACACACGGACACACCGACACACTAGGACACCCAGGACACTAAACACAGTAGGACACGCCAGGATATAAAATACACTAGGACACACCAGGACACACTAAAATACACTAAGACACATCCAGAAACACTAGGACACCAACACACACTGGGACACGGGGCCATGAAAACACACTAGGACACGCTGGGACACACCAGGACACACTAGGACACACCAGGAACACCAGGACACACCAGGACATACCAGGACACACCAGGACACACTAAAACATACTAGGACACACCAGGACACACCAGGATACGCCAGGACACACTAAAACACACCAGGACACACTAAAACATACTAGGACACACTAAAACATACTAGGACACACCAGGACACACCAGGACACACTAAAACACACCAGGACACACTAAAACACAGTAGGACACGCCAGGGCACACTAAAATACACTAGAACACACCAGGACTCACTGATTTCTTGAGTGGACGCCGCCAGGTAATGAGGTACTGTATCAGGGCTTGGTCTCCACATTCCAACACCTCACCTGCGGTGTTCCCCAGGGGACCAAGATGGGACCACTGTGCTTCCTTATCCTGATCAACGACGCTCTATCGGACACTCCTCACAGGTGGAAGTACGTGGATGACTGCACTGTGGGGGTTTCAGGGGACAACACCGCACCAGACTACTCATCGCTACAAGGCACCCTGGACAGGCTACAGGCATGGACTACGGAGAACAAGGTCACCATCAACCACACCAAAACCGTAGTCATGCAAATCAATACCGCCACCACTCCAGTGCAAGCCCCAGCAGTCACAGTGGGTGCCCATCCTCTCCAGCTGGTGCAGTCTGCCAAACTCCTGGGTGTAACTATAGACAACAAACTTGACTGGAAGGCCCATGTAAATAACACAGTCAAGGCAGCCTCGTACCGTCTCTACATGTTACGACAACTCAGGTCACTTGGGACACCCACGCCAGAGCTGAGGACCATCTACAACGCCTTTATTCTCCCCAAACTGACGTATGCGTCACCAGCCTGGTCGTCTTCTCTCAGCTCCACCCAACAACGTCAGCTAGAGAAGGTACAGAAAAGGGCCTGCAGAATCATGCTCGGCGCAGAATACTCCGGCTACACCAACGCTCTCTCCACCCTGGAAATGCCATCCCTCAGTAACCTCCACCACCAAGCACTGGAATGTTTGGCAGTGGACTACTGCACCACCCTCGTCATCGCCACCTCCTGCCACCTGCAGCCCCCCACCCAACTCGCGCATTCCGCCACTACAACAAAATCCAGCCCATAAGAGCCCGCACCGATAGATATAAGAACAGCACCATCCAATCTATTGTTAAAATAATAAACAACTCCTGATTTATGTACTGTACAGGTCTGTAAATGTATTCAATACATATTATATCATTATGTCTAAATCAAATGTAAGTCTGTATATTTTCAGCCACCGGCTGCAACTCTATTAATAAATCGTTTATTATTATCATTATTATTATTAAAACAAACTAGGACACGCCAGGACACACTAGGACACACCAGGAAACACTAGGACACACCAAGACACACTAGGACATGCCCGGACACATTAAAATACACTAGGACACGCCAGGACACACCAGGACACACTAGGACAAGCCCGACACATTAAGAACATAAGAACATAAGAATGGAGGAAACTGCAGCGGGCCTATTGACCCACTGCAGTCCCGTTTACACCCAACCCTATTGCTCATATAAGCATCCACCCTATGTTTGAAGCTATTCAGCGTATTCGAGTTAATGATGATATTTGGTAACTTGTTCCATTCATACACTACTCTGTTTCCAAACCAGTGTTTACCTATTTCACGCCTAAATCTAAATTTGTCTAATTTAAAACCATTGTTACGAGTTCGCTCCTGGTTGGATAGTTTGAGTACCTTTGTAATGTCCCGTTTGTTTAGCCCTGCCTTCCACTTATACACCTCTATCAGGTCGCCCCTCGCTCTACGTCTCTCGAGGAGCGCAAATTAAGATGCTTTAACCTGTCTCTATACTCAAGGTTCCTAATGCCCGGATTAGTCTTGTCATTCTCCTCTGAATTCTTTCCAAGGATTCTATATCCATTCTGTAATACGGTGACCAGAACTGAACTGCGTAATCCAGGTGTGGTCTCACAAGAGCAAGATACAGTTTTAGGATGACCTCGCTAGTCTTGTAACTAACACTCCTTTGTATGAACCCAAGTACTTTATTAGCCTTGTTACGAGCAAAACAACATTGTTTACTTGGCTTAAGGTTCCTACTTATCATTACTCCTAAATCTCTCTCGCAGTCGGATTTCTCTATGGCATCGTTGTTCATCTGGTATCTGGTTTCCCTGTTTACATCTCCTATACGGAGTACTTTACATTTGTCCACGTTGAATTTCATCTGCCATTTTTCAGACCATTCGAAAATTTGTTTAGATCTTCCTGTAGTTTTGCTGAGTCCTCGTCAGATTTAATAACACGTCCTATTTTAGTGTCATCAGCAAATTTACTTATGTTGCTGTCTATGCCGATATTTATGTCGTTTATGTATATAATAAATAATAATGGTCCAAGTACTGAGCCCTGGGGAACTCCACTAGTGACGTTGCTCCAATGGGACTTAGTGCCGTTAATGCTCACTCGCTGTTTCCTGTCCTGTAACCACGCCTTAATCCATTTAAGGATATTACCTTTTGATGCCAAGAGCTTCTAACACCTTTCAATTAGTCTTTTCGTGGGGACTTGTCGAAGGCTTCGTATAAAGTCGAGATATACCACATCATAATTGTGCCCCGTCCACCGATTAAAACACACTAGGACACGCCAGACACACCAGACACGAAACATTAATGCCAGGGACACAACAAGACACACTAGGACACCCAGGACACACCAGACACATCAGGAGACGCCAGGGACACACAAGACATGCCAGGACACACCAAGACACACTAGGACATGCCCGGACACATTAAAATACACTAGGACACGCCAGGACACACCAGGACACACTAAAACACACTAGGACACACCAGGACACACTAGGACACGCCAGGACACACTAAAACACACTAGGACACGCCAGGACACACCAAGACACACTAGGACACTCCAGGACACACCAGGACACACTAGGAGACGCCAGGACACACTAGGACACGCCAGGACACACCGTGACGCACCAGGACGCCCACCATAGCCGCGGGGTAATAGGACAACAAGAGGCTGGGTGGCTAACTTTGTGGAAGGAGGGAGATGTATAACAAATATTTCCTTAGAGTGGATGATTGTAGTGTGTGTGTGTGTGTGTGTGTGTGTGTGTGTGTGTGTGTGTGTGTGTGTGTGTGTGTGTGTGTGAGTGTGTGTGTGTGTGTGTGTGTGAGAGAGAGAGGTGTGTGTGTGTGTGTGTGTGTGTGAGAGAGAGTGTGTGTGTGTGTGTGTGTGTGTGTGTGTGTGTGTATGTGTGTGTGAATTCCATAAATAGATAAATTTCACAAGTCAGTTGCTAAGGGTCTTTAGTGGCGGCTTAATTGGCTCGTTTACTCATCCATCTCGCTAAATATGTGGGATGAAGCGTTCAATTGTAGGGCTGTTAGTGGTCGCTTGGTTGTTAACGAGCCAGTTAATTGATCAGTATTATGAGAAGATAAAACGAGGTTAATGATTGGTTTATACGGGGTGATCAAGAGAAGGTACTTGATTGGTCACTCATTTTATAACGAGGAAGATGATTGGCTAAAAATGTCCAAGACTCAGATGATGATTGCTTAATAATAATTACATAAGGGTTAATAGGATATATCTAATTGGCCAATAGCACGTTAGATTCAAGAGACAGAGACGCTGATTGGTTCATATTGTGAATAAAGAAAAACCAATGTGACGTCACGCGATCAGCTATTGGTTTGTTATGGTCGGGCCAACAAAATGCTATCCCAAGTATTAAAACTGC